CATCCCTCCTATAATGTAGATTCCAGAAGTGCAGACAATACTCTAGCTGAGGCCTAACCAACATTTTATAAGTTCCAGCCTCACTTCCCTGGTTTTAAACTTGACTAATAAAAGCAAGTAACACATATGCCTTGTTAAACACTGTGTATAAATACACATGTCATGTGCACATGTGTTGGCATGACCCCGACCCCTCATGGGTCACAGTGTCAACACTTAGTGGATTTCAATTACATTTGCCAATTGAGACAGCTGGCATGTGTAATCTCACAGTAGATGCCAATGAAGGAACATGTCTTGACCCCTTTGAGTCCAAGGTAAATTGGGAGTATTTGGAAAGAGGATTAACTGGTTTTCTAATCATGATACCATTATTTTTTCTTTCATTCATTCATGGAATGTGGGCACCATCAGTTGGCCAGCATTTATTGTCTGTTGCTAACGTCTTTGAGAAGGTGCTGATGAACTGCCTTCTTGAACTACTGCAGTCCACATGCTGTAGCTAGACCGACCGTTAGGGAGGAAATTCCAAAATTTTGAGCGAGTGATATTGAAGGACTTGTAATCTCAGAATTGTCCATGAGATCTGAGGTTTGGACTTGGGCATGAAGATCGAAGATGCAAAGGGTAAATCACCAGGTAATTGTTGTGGTGCTTATTTTCAATCTGTTTTCCTGTTTTACAGTTTATGGGAGAAGAAAAAAAGTTCTCTTAGAATGGAGTGTTTTTTTTATTTAGTAGCTTTCGAATGACATCCTTGTGGTGAAGCAGGCTCTTGGGAAGAGAGAGCAAACTGTGTATTGGAAAGGACAAAGAGCTGAAGATGGGAAAGACAAAGCATTATGGATTGGACATGACTTATTGCTGCTATTTCAAAGCCAACTAAGCTGTTTAAAGGGCTCCAGCAAGGGAGTCTTTGAGGATTTTGTACCATCAGGAAAGATATGGCTAGAGGAAGAAGGGGTTCAGAAACATGTATCTTGTCAGCAGTAACCATGTCTGAGGTCTTTGGGTGGAATGATTGCAACATAAGGACTGAAATGTTCGAGTGGTATGTGGAAAAGTCTACATTATGTAGGCCGAGTTAAAAAGACTGAGATTGCATTTGATGCCAGTGTGAGTGCTTGTAATGACATATATCTTTGTTATTTCAATATGAAACGTATTTTTTTAATTAGATCTTTTCTTTTGCCTATTAATTAATGCTTAAACTATGTTGATTTTATATTAATCTCTTACAGTAAAGGCAATGGACATTAGGCTATAAGCAGGTGGCAGATGGCACCGGGAAATAAGCAGTGGGTACTGGGAAATGGCCAATAGATAATGGGAGCTGGAATGTCAAAGCAAGGAGACAACGACAAGCCTGATTATAGGCAAAGGCTGATAGGAATATTGCTGAAAGGGCACAGGGGGCAGAAACAGTAATGCTCCGCTGATGGAAGGATTCGGAATCAGAGGACACTGATTGGAGGTTGTTGGCAAAACAAGCAGTTGATGCATGAGGGAAAATATTTATGGCACTGCAAGTGGAACATGCTCCTTGAGAGGAGGGTAGAGACACAGACAATTGAGGCGTTCAGAAACTAACTGGGTAATTACCTGAAGGGAATCAACCACATTGCTGTAGATCTAGAGTCACATGCAGACTATACTGAATAAGGTTGGCGATATCCTTCTTTAAAGGCCCTTAGTGAAGCAGGTAGGTTTACATCTATGGTTGCTTTGGCCTAGCTTAAGTCCAGATACTTTTTTAAAAATTGAACTCAAATTTCATTAGCCTGCATCTCTGTGACATTACCACAGCACCACTGCCTCCCTTTAGAAAATCTGTTGGTCTGTGCCCTCTTAAAAGTAATTTTATTTTTTCAATCTACATATTGAAGTTTATGCTTGCCAGTGAGGTAACTAATAGAAGGACACACTTACTGAATTTCTTGTGCTTCCATCTCGGTTTCCTCTGGGCTAATTGTTCAATTAAGAGAAAGATGTGACTGAATATGATGAAGGGAGGGGGTGCAGGTGGACGGCAGTAATATTCCTCAATTAAGGGATACCTCTGAAACTTCCAGATTATATCTGTATTGTCCTGGACCACTTGGAAGGTGTAGCTGAGAAAGGAAAGACCAGTGACCATGAAGTGAGTGATATACTTAACTATCTCAGCATTTCTTAAAGCAGGCATTGTTGGTTCTGCAGAATCTCAATATGAATGCAGTTTGACTCCTAACCTCCTCCCCCAAACTTCCTTTGTTCACTGAAGTTCATGGAATTATATAGAAATTAGAATTCTTGTTGATCTTATTTAGACTTGAAACATTTCAAGCTCCTGCTCACCCATCCAATCTTTTTATAATTCTCCACAAATCTGATTTCATTCTACAGCCGACTGCCCGGATCCCTCAGTGGATCAGAAGAAAAGCTAAACAATGCAGATGCTAGAGGACTGAAATTTTAAAAATACAACATGCTGGAGATTCTCAGCAGTCTGGCAGAGTTTTTGGAGAAAGTGTGTGAGAGAGAAGCTCCAAATAAATAGACTATTTAACATCCCACCCAGTCTAACGTCACCTGCTCTCTCACCATTGCCCTGGAATATTTCACACAGTCGAATCCCAGTCTCCAGATTGTTCCCCAAGCCCTTTCATTTCACATCAGTTTTTCACCAGGTTGTGAAACAGTGAAAGTCAGCAGAAACACAAACCTCAAGCCTTGCTTCCTTTCCTGTTTGGTGAGGACCCAGGCTTCACTTTGTGTGCAGTTTATAGATACATAAAGACATTTAAATGGTCAGAATCCCCATTTAAAGCCCAATCTGGTTTTCCCTGCAGTCCTGAACTCAAAGTGCACAACATGGACTAAGTCAGAGCAGGGCAACTTGATCTTTGGTGAGTTGAGGTCCCACTGCAAAGGGTCACTGGATTCGAAATGTTAACTCTGTCTCTCTCTACACAGATGCTGCTGGAACAACTGAGTTTGGTGAGCTATTTCTGTTTTGTTTCAGATTTCCAGCATCTGCAGTATTAGTCACATATCCAAGTTAGCACGGCTCTTGAGGTTAGCCCCGGTCTCTCCCACGCATGTGCTGTCCCAGTTCACGTCCGACACAGTCTAATCCCACTTTCCTACTCACAACCTGTTCCACTTCATATCCCACTCAGTCAAATCCTCTAATCCTCAGTCTAAAAGGCAGCAAGGTAGCTCAGTGGTTAGCATTGCTGCCTCACAGCGCCAGGGATCTGAGTTTGATTCCAGCCCTGGGTGACTGTCTGTGTGGAATTTGCACATTCTCTAAGCATCTGTGTGGGTTTCTGCCGGGTGCTCTGGTTTCCTTCCACAGTCCAAAGATGTGCAGGCTAGGCGGACTGGCCATGCTGAATTGTCTTCAGTGACTAGGGATATACAGACCAGAGGGATTAGCCATGGCAAATGCGGGCATACGGGGATAGTTGGGAGCTAGGTCTGGTGGGATGCTGTTTGGAGGGTCACTGCAGATTTGATGGGCCGAATGGCCTTTTTCTGCATTGTAGAGATTGTAGAGATTCTATGATTCTAATCCCATAGTTCACTTCACATTATCTTAGCATTCTCCAAATACTATAACTTGGCATTGACTTCCTGTTGCACCTTGCCTAGACTAATTTTCCTAATCCTATCCAAGACAATCTTTGATTACAATCCTTACACACTACTTCTCTCTGCAACTCACTGGTATTAGCCCACCCCTAGCTGAACACTCATATCTTCAATTAGTCCTTCTCTTTTTCTGCAATCTATCGAAACGGAATGATTTAAAAAAAATATTCTTTAATGAGATGTGGGCATGACTGTACAATCCAACATTTATTGTCCATGTCTAATTTCTCCTTGAACTGAGTGGCTTGCTCAGACTGCCAAGGTCAGTTAAGAATCACCCACATTTGTGGGTCTGGAGTGACCTGTAGGCCATGTGTAAGGATGGCAAATTTCGTTCTCTGAAGAGTATTAATGACCAACTGGGTTTTCCTTTTACAACAAATGATGATAGTTTCATGATCACACTGACTGAGACTAGTAATTAACTTCAGAGATAGTAGGAACTGCAGATGCTGGAGAATCCGAGACAACAAGGTGCAGGGCTGGATGAACACAGCAGGCCAAGCAGCATCATAGGAGCAGAGAGGCTGACGTTTCGGGCCTAGACCCTTCATCAGAAAAGCTTTTCTGATGAAG